ATCTCTATCTGGAGGATCAAACGACAGTTTGCTGATGATTAACGTCTTTCACTTTATGAATTTGTTTCACAGGATTTTATACAAATTTGCCTTCATTGGGAGGTCAGCCAGTATCACCATAGTGCTTCTTCCTGGTGCATGACTTACAGCACTGCTTCCCATAGAATTTGTGATTGCAGACTCCATGTTGGGGCACTAGGGAACACCAGCTGAAATAGTCCACACAAGATGGATCTTCTGTAAAACAAAACAATGTGCCCAGTTAGTGCAAATGTAGACTTTCACTGGTAAAGAAAGCTATACAAAATATACTGTAGCTATACACAAAAAACATAATATGTATCTGCCATTGCTAGTAGAAGAGTGAGGGTGTCCCTTCTCTGAATCATTCAGGATTGATTGAATGAACAGGACTGTTTAGGTGCATGCTTCTCTTTTAAACTTCAGTTCTAAAGTTGGATGCAGTGTGGAATATGCAATAATCATAGTTGTGAATATAATAAAGAAACTGTACAATATCCTGATAAAGCTAACCAAGGACCTTAATGGGTACTTCAACATGCAAATATTGGAATGCTTGAAGCTTGTTTATTGGCCGTGTATGTACCTGTAACTGTAAAGAAAGTAAGGAGCAGAAAGCATGGCAAAACATTTTAGGTACAAGCTTATCTTGGGGAAAATAATAGTGACCTGAAAAGTTTTCCTTGTTTATGGCCACCTTAGGGTCTATGTCAACTCCAAATTTCAAAAGCATTGCCACAGCTGAAAGCCCATCAACACATGCCCTCAGGCTGTCTTACTTTTTCCAGACAATCATTTCAGAGGAACTTCAAGGTTCAGTAAACTATACCTATATTAAAAATAAAGGCTTTGGGCATATAGGCCACGTCTTCATTATACATAATAAAGCTGAATGCCAACTTTTCACAATGTGCATTAGAATCCAGAATACATTAGACAGGACCAGCCACATTTCCTGGCTGGAGGACATTCATCATCATCTATCATTTTTCTCCCAGCCTTACTGTCCCTTACTGTATTTTTGATAGTCTGTACCTTCAATGGTTCTAAGATTCTCCAAAATTCTAACAAGGACAGCCAGCCTGTGCATCACACACTATTGAATACTTACTCACCTGTAGAAGGACAGAAGTGCATGTTGCAGGCTTGAGATGTTGGTGGCTTCTGATTAGGTAAACAGCCCACAGCAGGTCTACCTTGATGAAGACACTGGACATTCCTTATCTGAACTCCTCCACCACAAGTCACAGTACACTATATAGAGACAAGTAACAAAGATTTCATTTACCACTGACAACATTTGATTGGCATGATGATGTTGATATTTAAAAATATATATAAATCACTAAATAACATGTTTTGTTAAAAAAAAAAAATAAGTGTGATTTTCAAAAAAAAAAATTTAACTATACATATTATGGGAAATAAATGATTATTTCCATTTGTACAAAGCTCTCTAGACCCATTCACATTTCCTAGGGGCATACAGATTTATAAATGCAGAGTTAGTAAGGGCGATTTAGGGTGAGGAGTAGAGATTGTCCACTTAGATTAGGAAAAGCTAAAGCTGCATTCACTTCATTTATCTAGTCGTTTGTAAGTAAAAATCCTTCATTTTATACATGATTGGGTATTCTAAGTGCACATAACTTTACCATATTCACTGAATGAACATCCATTACTCTTTTAGTAAATCAGTGTATTAGGAAAAAAACGAATTCAATAAGAAACATAGCATACCATTTATTTTTGTTACATAAACATGAAGACAACCCTAAGGCCCCTTTCGCACAAGCAAACTAATCTGGTCAGCCTGTCAGTCTTTCAGGTGGACCTGATCTATTGTTCTTTATGGAGCGGCAGGTGTACCTGGTCATGTGTCCGTTTATACCCGCCTACATCCTACGATCCGCTAAAACCAAACAGATAGGGATCTGTTCCCCATACGTCTAGCGAATTGGATCAAATAGCAGCCAGTTGTAAACCGAAAGGTGGTCCGTTTACATCCACAGGGGACAGCAGGCTGTGCCTGTGTCCACTTTGCATAAGTGGAGCAGGCATGGATCAGCCATTCAGCTTGCACAGCGGCGGGGATCAGGGGACATATCTCCCGCTGAGCAAGCGGACTCCTGAGATCAAAGAAGTTTCCAATTTATTCAGATACTTTTAAATGTTGTTCCTTGGCTAAAAAAATGCAGACAGTGCAGCATACAGCACTGACATTGATCAACTGGGAATAATGAAGGTAGACCCTTCCACGCAGAAATTCATTTGAGAAAGGACATGGTAAGGAAAATATGACTTATTTCAGAACCAAGAAAAGGTATTAATCTTCAAAAACCTTGTTTTCTATAGCTCATGAAAAAAAAATATTATTTTGTCCTTAGTAAAACTGGAGTAACACTTTAAAGCAAAATTTCCTAGTAAATTATAGGAAAATCGTACAAACATATTGAAATTCTGACAAGCATACATTTGTTGTTTACATTATTCTGCATCCACATATTTAATTCTATGGTGCATCCTAGTAACATGATTTATTGATGACTTCTGTATACCTTAGCTAATTGGTGAAGCTTCCTTAAGCACACTGGACATTTTTGAAGTTGCTTCTATGGGCGTCAGGCTTTTTTTTTTCCTGCCTCTAAATTCCCTGCATGTTAGCCTATGTGTCCATGCACACATAGGCTTTTAGCAGTGTTCAGTGGCCAGGACTTTTAGAGGCAGAAAAAAAAAAACCCTCTGCCATCGCATCCAGAAGCAGAAGAGTTTTGGCAGAAAAAAAACACCTGACACTCGTAAACATGTCTAAATGCTTGTTGACACTTAGTGCTTGAGTGTTAAATTAGTTCAATACACAGAATAAATTACTATTCTGGCCAATGAAGTGAATTAATGCCCAAGCTTGGCACCTGTAAACGCACCTAAATGCTTGTAAGAGACAAGCATGAGGGATTTTTTTCTGCCAAAATATTGATGCCAGGAGGAAAGGCTTCTAGGAGAGTTTGAAAAATGTCCTTGTGTGCATGAGGCCTAATATCCTAAGCACAAGTGAAGCAAGAACCATATGGTTGAGGAAAGACTAAGCATGTGGCGTGTTACTCTGAATACTTACCGGTTGCCACGGAGATGCATGCCACCCATTATAAACAGTGTATGGTGTTTGTACAGGGCATGGCTTGTTATTGCATGGTTGTTCCAGAGGTATGGTGACTTTTCGGACACTTCGACACCTTCTTTGTGGAACAGTCACAATTTTGCCATGAATGTCCTTCTCGCCACATTTCAGTTCTCGCTTCCTAACACCGGGGCCACAGGTCGTTGAACACTGCACAAAGGAAAACAGCATATGATTAAATAACAGAATTTATGTGAATCTGTCTTACAAATTTCAACATATTAAAGATCTTAAAACAAAAATTAAGGTAAAATTAAGGTAAGCCATGGAAAGGCCAACTTCACTAAAGCTGGATCACATGCTGGTATCACGACCCAGTTTTGAATTCTTCAGGCTGAACTATTAGAAGTGTGCTTATTCATACCCTAAAATGTTGTTTTCAGTGCCTTTTTATATTCTACATTTATCTTAGTCAGCACCACCACCACCACAGCTGTGCCCCTTCAAAAGCACTGCCTACTTCAATCATCAAGTCAACAGCACACATCTACCTAACATCCTTGTTCCTCCAGCCATGACTCCGCAACTCAAGGGAGGTTTCACTATCTCTGTTCCTGAGCTGTAAAGTGTACTCGGCAACATTCCATTTCATCTTTGACCTAGCAGCTCTTCTGCGAATACCACTGTGACTCCATTACAACTTGCAAGTACAGTAGTGGAGATACTCTGCAAATATCGCCCTCCCCATCCCAGCTAGGCTCTCCCAGGACCACTCTATGATATAATCCCTAGGGTTTAGCTATGGCTACAGTTTTATTCTTATGCTATTGAAAGGTATTCACAGTCATTTTATTAGGCTAGTGCTACACAGATTTTTTGTAGCTCAATTATGCCAATAAAATTACTTCCGAATAATTGTCAGGAGTAGCAAATAACTACCTAAGTAGCATGCAGTAGCATCTTGGAGCAATCAGCCGTTCATTCTTGAAGAACCATTAGAATATATGAGACTGATTGCTACTACTTCTACTTGTGAAGCTTATATGGCCATATGGAACTATTTGTTCCATCTGTTTAGCGATCAGTCGCTACTCATATCAATTATTCATTGGAAATCTTAGCAGCAAGAATAAAAAAAAACTCATAAGTAGCTCCATCCTAATAAGGTGACTGCCTGCAAGCATTGAAATCTCTCAGTAGCAAGAGATTAAAATTGCCTGTTTGGTTTTTCCCTTGGACTTTCACTTCCTGCAGAACAGAGGAACTACCCAATGGGCCTATTCAGTAAGGGAGTGCAGAGCAATGGTATAGTACCCTATGGCACTTAGAAAACAAATAGTTTCTTGGTTGACTATTAAACCAGCAACTTGAAATTTGGTTGGCTGCTATCTAAACATCTTTATACATTTGTTTGCCCTAAAATGATAATTTAGCATGCATTAAAATGTAAATATATATATATATATATATATATATATATATATATATATATATATAAAAATAAATATATATATATATATATATATATATAACCACCAAACATATTGCTATAGGGCAGGCCCTGACTTCTAATTCTTGAAAGCTCCAATAGGAATATCTCCCAACACTTTTTCCCAACTTTATTCCACCGGAGATTCTGGCTAATTGTGGCAACATCCGCTAATGCAATCTCTATGTTATACAATAAGTATCTGAATGAGATAGAGGGACTTCCTCATAATGGCAACAGCAAACATGCATGGTGCCAGTTTTAGGAAACCTCCCCCATAGAGTGTGAGTGATAAAGGAAAAAGGTAGGTTTAAATGCCCAGTATCTACCAAAAATGTCAATTTTGGATGGGCCAACCATTTAAAATGAAGGTCATTCCTTTATGCAATAAATTTGATAAAAACAGAACAAATCAAAGAACATTCTCAGTCTTTCTTTAGATGTGAAGGTTACCTCAGTCCATGCAGATATCACCCACTGCAGTTTGTCATTTTTCTGGCAGCGGGCGAGCATGCAGCTCTCAGTGGACTCTGGCTTGGAGCTGGCTGGACACAGGTCTGCTGGAAGGATTTTATACTTCTCTGAGTTGACACTTCTGCAATAAACCTCTCGTTTCCTAATTCCCTTACCGCAGGATCGGGAGCACTAGACCAGACAAGGAATGCAAGCTGTCAGACAGAGCTCATGTAGAATGCTTATATCAACCTGACATGTACAGTGCTCACTTACATGTATATATATACCAGAAGAGCTTGCGCTTAGTCCTGTGGGCTTGTAATGGGCCAAGGCTTTATTTTTGTGGATTAATATTTCTCCTCATTTTGCCTCTCAATCTACAAATTAGACATTTTGGCTGATACATCTGTATTTATTTAGTGACAGATATAAGGTCTGGCTTGTTAAAAGACCAAAGGGACCAGCAATTTTGTTTGTCATGTGTATAATATGAATTTAATGGAGTCCATTGTTCCACTGTAATAGGCTGCTGTGGAAATTGGAACTTACAGTATGGTAAGGAGAACTTTAAGGAGACACATATTTTCTTTTTTACGTGAAACTCAAGACAAAATGTGATCTTTGCTTGTTTAGGATAGAGTGGGGAAGGGTTAGAACAGTGGGAGTCAACTTTCTTGATATAGGGGCCGCATGTGTAACCCTTACCAAAGGCCCACACGTAGGGTTTGATTTACTAAAACTGGAGAGTGCAAAATCTGGTACAGCTGTGCATGGTAGCCATTCAGCTTCTAAGTTCAGCTTATTCATTTACGCTTTGACACAAAAAACTGGAAGCTGACTGGATTCTATGCAAAACTGCACCAGATTTTGTACTCCCTGGTTTTAGTAAATCAACCTCCAGTATTCAGTGAATGTAAGGGCTTGTTCACACTTGAATACATTTTGAGCTCCTACATTATAGTGTTAGTATAGGCACTAAACAGGCGTTAATGAGCTTTTGTACGGGCATAAGACTGGCTTTTTACAAGCATTAAAAAAACGCTGCCCAAATGTCTTCTGCGCAGTCTCTGGGGTTCAGGTCTGATGAAGGAGCTTACTGTGCATGCTCCGAAACGCGTTACCACCCCACGTCACATCCGACGTATGTGTTCCACGACAGTTTCTGAAGTTACAGCCATCTCTATTTTGACTTCCTGAGTTCCAAGGGCCATGCTGCCAGTGGACAGCTGGATGACTCTTCCCTGCACCATCAGGAACATTGGTTGCAACCCATGATGAGCTATTATATTGTTACTCCTGTAAGTGTTAATTTACCTTGTGAATAGAATAAACTGCTAATATTGCACTTCGAGGCGCCTTCTTTCATTTCATGTTTGTTTGCACTAGAGCCTTGCCTCCTACTCTGTGAAGAGCTGCCTCAGTGTTATTGACCCTATCCATCCTTCATGTCCATCTGGCACCCCTCTCAAGTAGCCAGAGAGGATGGTTTCCAGCAGGAGCTTCCTATGGACTATACTTTCTGGAGACACATTACATGAGAATGTTAGAGGTCAATGCTATTAAATCCCCTTTACAAACCTATGATTCCATGTTTGTGCGTTCTACAGCCCAACTAAAAATTACTAGTGCTACCATTATCAATAATGAAAGTCCAGTTTGAAAAAAATATAAAGGAATGTACAGCACATAAAAAGTAAGGTAGTATGAAAGAAACCAAACTATGTAACTACCCCTCCCAAGAGGGAACCTGTGCTTGGTGGTTGACTCCGTATTCATAACTACTTGTACTGGTTACTGAGAATGTCCTACTTTGTTTTACATATGAAGATGTTGTATGACTTGCTGAAGTACGGAATAAAAAAAATTAGTTTAATGATAAACAAAATGTAACTACTAAAGCCCATTGCAAATAATATTTTGCTTACTGGTCTGGGTAAGCAGGGGCTCAAGTGCCAAAGAGCCACAGGTTGGGCACTAGGGGATTCAAGCCTCTTTCAGATTTTATTTCTATCTCAGTAGGTCTGTAATTGTATCCTGCTGAGACAGAATTAACCCACTCTTCAATAGCTCTATCCACTGCCCCAGTTAATGTGGAATGTATCATTTTAAATGTCCAAAGTGATTTACAAATCCAAAAGAGCAAAAACAAATACTGGCATTTCTGAGGCAGTCCTCTATAAAAAATCCAGTTGTACATATATACAATATACATATTTAATAAAACTGGATTTTTTTTTAATGGAGAACTGTCTCAGAAGTATTTATGTTCCTTTGGCTTTTTACTTTGGTTTACATAAGAGAAAAGAAAGACTTCCCACTATTGCCCAATCATTAATGAAGTGGATGTCCCCTAACAACTACTGACCCATTCAGTGCCAAAATGGATGGGGGAAAGTTCACCCCATGAGGAAGGTAGTGGGATACCAGCCCACACCTTGTATCATGGAAGGGGGAAGATGAGAAAACACCAAGCCTGCAAGTGATAGGTTATACTTCCTCACTTACAGTGATTGCAGGTTCCTGGGTTTAGTAACACTTTATCCAGTCTCCCACAGTACACAGAAAATGGAAAAGCAATTATTTTAGTAAACATAAACTGCTAAATACCTTTTCTCATCAGCAGTTACAGCAGTCTTGTGACTTCTATCAGTGTTCAGCAGAGCACTGGTTAAAGCTTGTAGCAGGAGTTTTCTCTCTGGTCTAGCAGGATGCAGAACCCCTGACCTCTGTCTGGACAGTGCTGATTGGCCCTGCGCTGATCACATGCACTCCCCCAAGAAAAAAAAAAACAACTCTCTAGCAATACACACCAAACTGAGCATGTGGAGAGTGTCTCCACACCATATGTCTTATCAGGAGATAAGAGAGGGACACTGGAAGAAGGGGAGGATCAGAGAGATCAGAATCAAACAGCCTTTTTACACAGTACAGATGATTAACCCCTTAGGTTCCACAGTGAGTATAACAAGCATGCTTTAATGGGTATACAGACTGATTTTACGGTTGTGGGTTTAGTAACACTTTAAAGAATGAAAAAAGCAGCATTTAGATGAGTGTAGTAGTGTTATCATAGCTGTATTAGGCATTTTTAGATTCACTTTATATAGAACATTCTATCTAGCTTTTGTTTGTAGAAGGCTCCTTCCACTCCCCAAATACATATTTTGTAAGCCTTTGACCTTGCCCTTGTATAAAAACAAAATCCAACAGACAAAAAGATTGACTTCTTTGGATACATGTTGTTATATTCTTTATAGTTTTGCTGGTTATTTGATTGTTCAAGATATTAATTGAAGTTTAAAAGTGTTCCAAATAGCAATGCAGAAAGGCCATGTAATACCTGGGACCAGGGTCCTGTGCTCCATTCTGCTGGACAGTCCTGGATATGGCACTTCTGGACTTGAATGGGAGTGCTCACTGGACAGTGTGAATGTCCCACCAGCTCTTCGCCTTGTGCTGTCCTCTGTACACACAGCACTGACCGAGTCTGTTCGCCTCCACCGCAAGACGCGCTGCATGCACTCCAATCACTGGCTATCCAGCTATTGGCAAAAAAAAAAAACAACCTTTAGAGCATATGGTACATTTTATGATATAAGGACTTAATAATGAGCCTATTCACATCCTTAATAAATCAGAGCATTGATGCACAATGGTCCTTAGTAATAGTATTTAAAGGAGAAGTCCATTCAGGATACAAATCACCATTAAAGTTCAATTGATGTCACAGAAATAGATCTGCAGCCAGACAGGCATTGTACCAGCAATCTCCATTTTCATCCAGTTTCCCATCAAAGCAGTTGTACAGAGTGTCTAAATATGACTAGCAGTGTAATAGGCACCAGAAAAGACCTTTTTTCAGTAGTTCCCACAGATATTGACCCTGTGCTGATCACATGCATTCCAAGAAAAAAAAAAAAAAACAACTCTCTAGCAATACACACCAAACTGAGCATGTGCAGAGTGTCTCCACACCACATGTCTTATCAGGAGATAAGAAGGGGACACTGGAAGAAGGGGAAGATCAGAGAAATCTGAATCAAACAGCCTTTTTAGACAATGCAGAGGATTAACCCCTTAGATTCCACAGTGAGCATAACAAGCATGCTTTGCTGCATGTACAGACCAGGGGCGGACTGACAACTCATGGGGCCCCCGGGCAATAGGGGATCAAGGGGCCCCCTGTGTCCTCGCCCACACCCAAAAAAGCCTATGAAAAAGCCAATACAAGGTACCAGGGGCATCTCATGGGGCCCCCTACTGACCCCGGGCCCTCGGGCAGTGCCCGAGTGCTCGAATGGTCAGTCCGCCCCTGGTACAGACTAATTTCACTGTTGTGGGTTTAGTAACACTTTAAAGATTCCCCTTCTGTGCAGTACAATGAATTGTGAGGATGATTGCGTTGAGGGGTGTGGCTGTTACTGAACTCAGCCAGCACAGACTACTCTAGAGAAGGAAAGGAACCACCAGAGTAAAGAATATTGTAAAGCATTTCCATGGAAAAACAGTCATAAATCACAACATGTGGGGGTATAGGACCAGGGCCGGATCCAGCCTTTTCTAATCTGGGGGTGCAGTAAAAAAAAAGGCCAGGGGGGCATACCGTCAACACCAGGGGCAGACTGGCCATTCGAGCACTCGGGCACTGCTCGAGGGCCCGGGGTCAGTAGGGGGCCCCATGAAATGCCCCTGGTACTTTTTTATAGGTTTTTTTGGGTGTGCTTTGAGTGTGGGAAGGACACAGGAGCCCCATAATCCTCTAGGACACAGGGGCCCCATGAGTTGTCAGTCTGCCCCTGGTCTACACTGTGAGTCACTAGCACAGTCACACAGTCATGACCCGAACAACAGGTAGTGCAAAAGCGGTGCAGGAGTGAACAAGGAACCCTAGTATAGATTAGGCTGTCATTAGATTATGATGATTAACCACTTGCCCTCCAGAGGATTTACCCCCTTCCCAACCAGGCCATTTTTTGCCATACGGCGCTGCGTTACTTTAACTGACAGTTGCGCGTTTGTGTAACGCTGTACATAAATTAAATTTATGTCCTTTTTTTCCCACAAATAGAGCTTTCATTCGGTGGTATTTGATCACCTGTGCGCTTTTATTTTATACCAAAAAAAGACCGAGAATTTTGAAAACAAAAAACAATATTTTTTGACTTTTTGCTATAAAACATATCCAGTAAAAAAATATAAAAAAGCTAAATTCTTCATAAATTTAAGCCAAAATGCTACATGTCTTTGCTAAAACAAATCCCAATACATGTAAACCAATTGGTTTACGTGAAAGTTATAGCATCTACAAATGGCGGTATAGATACTGGAATTTTTTTTCATACTAGTAATGGCAGCGATCAGCGACTTATAGCGGGTCTGCGGTGGGCATTCTGACACTGGGGGAAAACTGACTGCCACTGACATCCCAATGACTCTAATACAGCGATCAGTGCTAATAAAAAGCACTGACACTGTACTAATGACACTGGGCAGGAAGGGGTTAATATCTAGGGCTATCAAAGGGTTAACTGTGTGCTGTTTTACTAGGGAAACATACTGCTGTGTATTTCTTTGCTGTACAGAGATATACACAGCGGCATGTTACTGCTGGCAGGAGAGAGACCTGTGTTGTACACACAGATCTCTCCCCTGTCAGTGATACTCGGCGATCGCTGGGTGCGGCGGGGATTCTCTGGCCAGGATATGGTGATCGACATCTGTAGCCGCCAATGACGCCCTGGGTAAAGTGGCACACGCGCACGCCCCCTACTCGGAAATGCGAAATCACGTATATATACACGTGATTTTGTGTAGCACTTCCACCGTGTATCAGTAGTTCTGCTATAGGGCGGTTGGAAATTGGTTAAACAGAACCTGTGCCTCCTTATGCCATGTGTTTATTGTAGCCCCCCATTATATCAGGAGTCATCATCAGGTCCCCATCAGAGTCACCCCTTACATCAGGTATCCCCATCAGCCCCCCCCCCCCCTTACATCAATTGTCACCATCAGAGTCCACATAGGTTCACATTTGTGCATTAAGAGAACGCATGCAAAATCATGCAGCCCTTTAGCAGATATGTGGCGACGCCATTAATTCCTAATGGCACCCCCACACATTTTGCTAACATGCACACCAAAACACATAGAGAAATTTACTAAAACTAAAGCACTCAGAATCTGGTTCAGTTCTGCTTGGTAGCCAATCAGCTTCTAACTTCAGCTTGTCCAATTAAGCTTTGACAAAATAACCTGGAAACTAATTGGTTTCCAGGCAAAGCTGCACCAGATTTTGCGCTCTCCAGTTTTAGTAAATCTCCCCCAAAGTAACAAAGTACCATGCTTTTTAATAGGATGCAATTTTTGAAAAGGGTCACATGCTTCTTTAGGAATGAATGGGCTGCCCTAATCTCAATGCACAGAAATGTGCAAAAGTGCGCATGCTCTGTCACACCTCCAAAGGTATAAACGGAGCCTTACATCCATTGTCCCCCCATAAGAGTCCCTCCTTACAATAGTTGCCCCATCAAGTGTCCCCATCAGACTGGCTCATCATGGAGCAGTAAATGCACTCTGAGATCCGAGCCTATTAGGACTATAAAAAAAGAGGATTAAAACCTTCAATTGGGCTTTAAATTACAGAATGTGTGCAGGCATGGCTTTCTTTCAGCAGAAATGCAGTTCCAGCACCTCCAGCACTGAATGTATTTAATGCCAAGGGGTGTAGGGTGTGCTGAAGGGTCTATTGATGCTGGCTGCTGAGGGATCAATTGTCATTGGTAGGGATCTGTTTTTGTGTGAGGGTCTATTGTTGCTGGTGGGGGATATTATTGTTCCTGGTGGTCTTATGTTCGTGGTAGGGGATCTACTGTTGAGGGAGCGGTTGCTAGCTTCTGGGTGTATTTGATGCTGGCTGCTGGGGGGGGGGTTAATGTTGCTGGGGTGGTATTTTGTTGTGGGTTGTTGCTGTGTGGGGGGTCTATTGTTGCTGTGTGGGGGAACTATTGTTGCTGGGGTGGGGTCCATTGTTGCTGGGAGAGTCTATTGTGTGGGGGATAAATTGTTGCTGGCATGGGATCTATTGTTGCCAGCTGCAGTGGATCTATTTTACTGATTTTCTTGTTATTATCAATTGCCATAAAAATGATTTAGGCCCTACAAAATGATTCTTGGTTCTGTATTCTCTAAAAGGGGCGGTACTGGGTGGTGGGTGGGGGGGGGACCAAGGGACATTCTCAGAGGAGGGTAGGGGGTGGAGACAAGGAGGGACTCAGAAAGGGGGAGTTCCTGCACCTATTTTGGAGGGGAAAAAAAAAAAAGCCCTGTGTGCATGTAATGTGCCTCAATCTGGCTGTAAGATGTAGCAGCAACTATTTCTGTCACTTTTGACAGCATCTGAAAGTGAACTGTAAGAGGAAAAATATAGAGATACATACATTTATAATGTGTCTGATTGCTACTAGGCTGTTGGGGAAGCCACAGGAGAAGCAAAACATTCTCTGAGGTTTCATTTCCTACTACATGCCCCAACGATTTATGGAACATTATTTTTTTTTTTTCTCTTTTTATCACTTCAAGGTACATATGTAAAAACACCATTAAAAAAAAATCAATAGAGTATAGGTGAGCGCACAAAAACACACAAATAAGCTGCTGGCATAAAAGGATAGAACCCCTAAATCCTCTGGTAAATGGTAAATAAGTATGCAGCGCTAATAAGAATGATCTGGTGAAAACAATGCAATAACTGGAGAAGATCCAGTGACAAGAAATATGGTGGTGAATGGATAAAATATTAAAACCAAAATAAGCACAAATAAATCGATAAATATTGCACTAAAATATATAAGTGTAAACATAAATACATAAAGTGCAAAAAAGTGCTCATTAATCCATATTCCAGTAAACTCGTTATAACACTTCAAGTAGAAAAGTGCTATTATACTTATATAATATACGTATATAATAATGCTTCCCAGTCACCAGAATCACTATTATACTTGAAGTGTTATAACGATCACTATCTTGATTTTCATCCAGTCACGAGTTTACTGGAATATGGATTAATGAGCACTTTTTTGCACTTTATGAACTTTATGTATTTACATTTACACTTATACATTTTAGTGCAATATTTATCGATTTATTTGTGCTTATTTTGGTTTTATTATTTACCATGTAAAAACACCAGTTAACCTTTCACAAACCTGAGCAATAAATAAAAAAATGGTTAAAATACATAAGCAGAACCATCTTCAGTGAAAGTCGCATTTCCTGTCCCATCACACCTCTTGAGTCTTCTGATTGTACCTTTAATGGTCTTTATTTTGATCAATAGAGGGTCTCAGAGGTGGAAGGAGGCACAGTAAAACTTGTCTTTTACAACAAAATCATGATTTAGCTATAAAATGTATTCACCTACTGCAGGCCTTGAAATTTCCACTCGCCTGCTCGCCAATGGTCATATAGTTCAGTTTACATAGTCATGATGAAATTTAAAAAAAAATAAATAAATAAAATGTTTTGATGCATTTCTTAATTAGTAGTTAAACTAACAGTTTTGTTTTGCAGGTAGGTGCTTCCTCAGTAGAGCGGAGCTACCTACTCAGCCATTGTGCTGCATACTACCAGTCAAAATTGGGCAGGGGGGCCTTTTTGAAACCAGGACAAGCTAAAACCTGGGCAGTTCTTGAACTTTGAAGGAACTATGCAAGCTGACCAAGTATACATCACCAACAACATAGAAAAAGGTTGCAATAGCATAAAAAAATAATGCAAGTAAAGCACCTATAATGCCTTGGTAACATGTTACCAAACCCGGGACCCTGCATTCACTATACCTGGTCTCCCACAGTACACAGAACATGGAAATGCAATTATTTTAGTAAATATAAACTGCTAAATACAGTACTTTTCTCATCAGCAGTTACTGCAGTCTTGTGACTTCTAGCAGTGTCCAGCAGAACACTGATTAAAGCTTGTATAAGGAGTTTTCTCCCCTGAATGTCCTATGAGGCTGCATAACCCCTTACCCTCTGTCTGGACAGTGCTGATTGGCCCAGTGCTGATCATATGCACTCTCCCAAGAAAAAACAAACACTCTCTAGCAATACACACCAAACTTAACATGTGCAGCTTGCCCCCAAGACTCTGTTCTATCAGCAGGTGGATTGGGGACAGAATACTAAGAGGAGGATCAGAGAAGACAGGATCAAACAGCCTTTTTACACAATGCGGAGCATTAACCCCTTAGGTTCCACAGCGAGTATAACACAAACATGCTTTACTGCATTTACAGACTGACTTTACTGTTGTGGGTTTAGTAACACTTTAAAAAGAGGAGCATTTGGCAGGTATTTTTAGCACCTACTAAGCATCCCCACTCCCGGTTTTGAAATGGCATATAAATCTATGCTAGCCTGACTTTATAAGCAATGTTAGTTCATTCCTAACCATACCCATCAACAAAGTTCTCCATTGTGCACTGTCCAAGGAAAGTGATGGAAGTGCTGACCTAACAGAGGTTGAAATACCATGGTGCTGGATGTTCTGCATCTACCATCCATGTACCCAAGGTACCCTGATACATTTCATTGGATTCCACCTATCTTACACGCTGCAGTACATTTCTAAATTAAACCTAATTTCTCTGACTCTTGCAGAGTCAAGCTCATAATTCCCAATCTGTCTATAGTCAACTCAGCATTCCTTTTCTTTGGCACTCTTAGCCTACTTTGAAATCCAAAGTGGGATCTGGCCATGAGAAGTACTGGCCTCCATTTGTAGCCTGGTGCTTGCACCTGGAGCAGTCATTATTTCTATTTCCAGACCCACCACATGTTCTATATTTCAAAGTAGACTGAGCGTGCCAGAAGACAGCAACACTGTTCTGGCTGTGAGCAGCATAAGCAATGTATATTTGACTTTTGTGAAAATCACAGATATGTTGTTCTATTTAAAGGTGGTGAGTCCACTGAGCAGTATTAGCAGAAAAAGTTGGGGATTGTCACATAACTGTCTGTATCTGTGGATCTGCTCCTTGTGTTGACATGTGGTTGTCACAAAAGGTAACCTATGCTTATGAACCTTTTCATGATACCTTCAGACTTACTTGCCAAAGAATGTGACAGATTTACTTTAAGTCTCATATGTAGTCATTTGCGGCCAATCAAACATTAAGACCTGTCATCCAAGTCACTGCCTTCATTGGTTGCCTGAGGATATGATTCAGTGTATTCTTAAAGAAGTGAAACATATGGAGATACTTACTAGGCTGGACAAGGTTGGGTATTGCATGGTTTTTTTGCTCGAGGGAAGGCTTGTTCAATGAACTACATAAGCTGGAGTTTACTTGAATTTGAAGATCTTGAAGGCACAAAAACTTCACAGTCATATAACCTAATAAGAAAATTATAAGACTATTCAAAATGTCTATTAAAAAAATATACAAAACACATTCATCGATAAACATAACACAAGCCTGTTAATACATCTTGACTAGCTAAGGAATGTTCAAAGCCCAACCGCAGCCAAACCTATTTCATTCTAAACAGAATGGGAAAGGATTAAAACCTCTGTCTGGCATTCACTGCCGTATGTGTCCCTCTTGGGTAAATTTTCCCTCACTTACCCCCCGGTTCACACCTATGCGGCCGTGCGGGTTGCGTTTTGCTCAGGAACGAGAGCCCATTCATTTGAATGGACTCCCATGACTGTGACATGCAGGAAAAGAAGTCCCTGCACTTCTTTTGAAAACGCAACCCGTGCAGGAACATCGTTTCCCAGTACGGTTGCGTTTCCCAGTGCGGGCAGCGTGCCATTAGAAATAATGGCACCCGGAGGGTCCGCAATTCTCTGTGTGGGTGGTGCGGCTGCACGGATTTTCATGCGGATCCGCAGCGGCACCACCCGCACAGATGTGAACCTAGGGTAACCGTCAAGACAGTAAATGATGCATTTGAGGAAAACTTAACATTTCTGAAAATATTTTTTTTTTAGCTGTCCTTGCCCTGCTAGCCCAGTTACAACCTAACAATGTATGACTGTCACAAAGATGGCGAGTTCGAGATATCTTCCCAAGCAGAAATAAAAACCTGGTAGAAATGATCATCTCCTCTCTATCCAAAGCTAAAAAAAAAACGGGTGCAGTTGGACTTTATTATTTCCTTTACGGGCAAGGGTTTTAAAGCCATTGGGGCCCAGAAGCAAAGAGAAGCAGGGAGTGTTTGGCTGCATAGTATCAAGTAGAAAAAATTTCTTGGAAAATACATTTGGATAAAAGAAATGTATATATAATCTGGTCATTTCTATAATACTGTAAGGAAGCCATTAGTATTTTGTATCACAGATGAATTCCATTTTAGATGGAAGAGAGATGGGTGGCCCGTAATGGTTTTGCTATGAGGGGCCCATCACACTTCATCCAAGACCTCATTACAAGGATGAAAACACAAGAAAACAAGACAAGTACCTAACTTTTGTCCTGACCACTCAAAGTAAAGATGTCTGATGCAACTGTATGGAAGGCAAGAGCCATGTTAGGTTTTGGGTGGATTGGAATTTAATATTGGATTTTATGTTCATCTGATTTACCAAATGAATGTTGTACAGAGACTGATGCTTCCTCATAGTCAGGTATAGGAAGATCACCTAGCACAGGGGTAGGCAACTTTAAAGAGGTGGAGATCTACCTGAACAACATGAAAGAAGTCAAAGATCACCAGGAACAAAGTCACATCTAATTCCCATACTGCCGTGTCCAAATCACATGCATTGCATGACAATCATGCGTTGCAATCAGGTGTTGAGGAGACAACATATCGCCTGCTCACCACCTGTCAAACACACTTAGATCACTTTTCAGAGGAGCAGCAGTGCCTGCTGCACTTGTGAATGAGCCCTTAGTTGCATTCAGCAATGGCACCCTTGGGGTGGTGATAAAACCCTGCTATTGAAACTCTCCCAATCCCTACCCCCTTTTGGCATCAGCCAAAGGTGTACACATGCCACAGCAGGAATTAAAACCCCTCTTGCTTTTGGTGGGCCCTGCCTGCCAGTCGCAACCCATTTATGTGTAGTGAATGTGCAAACTGACACTTGGGGGCTCTATGTATAAAATAGGCACACAGCCATCCACCCAGTAAATCTGTATTCGTTCTCTGTGAATTGGGCAAAAATAAATGTTCTTTAGGCTAGCTTCTCTTCTGAATGTTCTTTTATTATGTAGGTAAAATGCTACATAATGGCCACTAGATGGAGCTGAGAAGCATGTGAAATAAATCTGTCTATAAAGACAGATTTATTTCACATGCTTCTCAGCTCCATCTAGTGGCCATTATGTAGCATAAAACAAGAGATGCAATGTTACAATTGTAGAGAATGCTAGAGGGAATAAGCAAATAGGTTTAATCAAACAATGAACTTTTTTTATGTCTCTTCCAACAGTGACCTCTGTCTAAGGATAGCAGCATTTTATTTAGCTCTTTGATTTACATTGGCTAAAATATTATCATAATACAGTCATGTCATAGTCATACACATTCCACAGCAGGAATTAAACCCCCTGTTGCTTTTGGTGGGAGCTACTGCCTGCCAGTTGCGAACCCATTCAAGTAAATGGGGCCACTCTGCAAGTGCCCCACAACTGCATGCTTCTGCGGGGTCCAAGGGGTTAAGACAGATGGTGAGAAAGCAACATAACGCTGCCTGCTTTAACCCCTTGTTTGCTGTACTGCACAAAGTTGCAGGGCACTTGCACAGAGGCTTCATTCACTTGAATGGGTCATGCTTGGCAGGGGCTACACCCACCAACCAAGACAGGGCCTATAACTCCTGCTGCAGCTGCGACATGTGTACACCCCTGGCCACTGCAGCAAAGGGGTGAGAAGTGGGGGTGGGGGTGGTAAAAATACATCTTACCTATAGGGTTTTACCATCCGTCAAACTGAAAATGTTATTGAACCCTTACTGTTCTGAGCCCCTTTAAGGATGCTTTCACACTGACGTGCTGGGGTTTACCGGCACCGTGGGTGCAGAGCAGTGCATCTGCGACTTCCCTGGGTTAGCTGCACTTTGCCATAGACTTCAACAGTATTATATCCTGCAGGTGTGGTGCACTTCTGAAAGCGCACCAAAACTCCTGCATTCAGGAGTAATTGCAATAGATGTATTTTTAGTTGGAATTCATAATCAATGATGGAGGGTCACTTTGCTATTGTGGGTATAGTCGAATCTGCTAAGGTCTGTGTATACAGTTAAAGCCAAAAGCAAGTGAGAAATCAGCCATTTAAAAAAAATTTAAAAAATTGTTCAACTCACCACCGCCACAAGTGACAGAGCAATCGGTAAAGACAGGAACCCAGGAATAGCTTGTCTTCTTCACAAGGTTCTCTTCATTAAGAGAATATGGTAATGTATACTCCCATGTAAATCCTCCATTCTTTCCTTGATAAAGGATCTGAATAAAGAAATATATCCATGTTTTATGGGCAGTCTATAATAATAATTTTATCAATGTCAGGATTTTTCCCCTGTAACTCTTAGTCCAGTGGTCTCCAAACTGTGGCCCTTTGCTTGCTTTTATCTGGCCCTTGGTGCACTATTCCACCAAGTGGCACCAAACATGGGAACCATTCCCCCTACAGACACCATCAACTATTTTTCCTATTGATACCAACATTAGGGCACTATTTCTCCCATTAAAACCAATGATGGGGCACTGATGCAGGGCCTTTTCTACTCCCACTGGCTAAAGTCAGGGCACCCTAAAGTCAGAAGGAGAGTAAACTGGCCCTTTGCTTAGAAAGTTTGGAGACCCCTGGTTTAGCCTATTCCAGTTAGGAAAAAACACACATCTGTCCCCCACATAGTTTTAGAGATACAAATTTCTTACATAAGATACTCAATGGTCATTGGTCACTTTAGACTGACGTACTTGTAAAAAACAACTCAGATGGTCAATATCTGTTCAGAGATCCTATGTACTGTATTATTATTATTTAATGGACAACTGCAGTTTTGTTTTTAAAAATAATATTGTAATGGGCCTAATACACTTGTTAACACAGCTAAAATTACTAAAATCAACCAAAATGGTGGCCACTTACATCATCACTAACTGACTCCTCAGGCTCTTGTGAAGGAACAAGTACACAGAAAGTACCCTCCTGTGCTCTACAAGTTCAATTATTCAATGCACCTAAGGAAAGTCCCTCCTGCCCTTTTCTCTCTGTTTGTCCTGCCCATCTGTTAGCCTATTTAGTTGGCTCAGTATGAGGCTTTAAAAAGAAAGAGAAAGTCTGAAAGAAAACAGTTTCTGCTCTTTTTTTTTTTTAAATACCTCAAGTACTAGAACGCAGCTGGATCCCCTGCATCAGACATCCTCTTAATTGTCTTCTTATTTTTACCTAAGATTACATCATTTGACCTGGCCACATCCTCAGTAGTTCCTTCCAGGAGTGTGGGGGATTCTCTTATCTCTTATATTATCGGGGATTACCCCTGGCAAAGGCACCTGTCGCCTACCACTGCATATTTTGTATTATTTGTTGAACTTTGTGTACATATCGTTGCACCTTGCCATGGTTGTTTATTGTGCCTATTTCATGTACTCCTCGCAAGGCTCATTGGCATTTCAAATGTGACTTAAGCATTTTGTAACCTGTTGCAGTTTAACCACTTCAAGTCCGGACACTTTCACCCCCTTCCTGTCCAGGCCAATTTTCAGCTTTCAGTGCTATCACACTTTGAATGACAATTGCGCTGTCAGGCAACACTGTACCCATATGAAGTTTTTAGCATTTTTTGAGACAGATAAAACTTTATTTTGGTGGTATTTATTCACCACTAGGATTTTTAGTTTTTTACTACAAAAATTAAAAAGTCCAAACATTTTGAAAAAAAGTGTTTTTCTTATAAAACGTTGCTAATAAATAATCTTTCTTCATAAATCTTGGCCAAAATGTATTCAGCTATCTTTTTAGTTAAAAAAAATAGCCCAAATTAGTTTATAACCAAAAATTATAATTTTTCAAAAATTATTTTTACATTTTTATATTATTATTTATGGGTTTTTTTTTAAGATACCATCACCCGAGCAGTACAGTGTCACCATAGTGACACTGTACTACTTGGGGGGTAATGAAGATTTTTCTTTCTCTTTTTACAATGATTGCTTTTACACCCATAAAGGCTGTAAAAGCAATCATTTCTCCTTCTTTCTGGCTGCATTCTTGCAGCCATTGAAAAATACTGTGAGAGCTGTGCACACAGGCAGTGAATGCGAGGGCCATTTATAAACAGCCACCCGCTTCGGCACTGCTCCCGTCCTGCCGCGTTTATGTACATGGGCCGGACAGGAACTGGTTAAGCAAAGTCTATGTTTTATTGTATCTGTTGCACACCATTAAAGAAAAAAAAAAAAAACCTCAAGTGTTTTATGAATGTAGAGTCAAGGGTGCTTCCTTTAATAAATGTGTATTTGTTCAAAAAGAGTCTTAATGGCTCTTCAAAAGTAATCAGGTCTAATGGTTCAATAAACAAAATCAAAATATTGCTCATACACCTGTACTAGAAAACTACTATGATCCTCATATAATGTTTAAAAAATATGTCAAAGCTATACAGGAAAACTATGCAAAAAAAAAAAAATATATATATATTTTTATATATATATATATATATATATATATATATGTGTATGGGACAAAGCCTCTGTTTCTATATACATTTTTTATTTTCCTATGCATATTCTTGGGTTTGTGCTAATCCTTTATCACAGGTGTATGAAAAAGTGAAACAAAACAAATATAAAAATAAAAAAAAATTAACTATCATAAATATCATCTGAGGCTGTGGACAGTTACTCTGTATTGCTCTTGTTTAGGAAGTAACAGAAATCCCAATGGAGCTCGCTGAGGCAGCCTAAGGCTTCGAACGAGGCCAAAATTGTATGCTTACATCTTTTTATGATTGGGAAAATGAAATAAAACCTGTTTAATTAACCCAAGTGGGATTGCAGGAATGTAAAAATGTGTCTGATGGACAGTAAAAAGCTTTCATATGCAATGCTGCAGGAAAAAAAAAGATCTATTAATTCGATGTTTATGTCAAGGTCACCAACACAGTGGTAAAGGAATTACATTTCACGATTTTCTCTTCTAAACATGAACATTGTTTCTTTTTTGTGTTTGTATTTATGATAATAGGAAAGTATTTTGATAGGCACACCCCCAGGATTAGCATACATTATCTAAGGATAAGGATGAAAACATTAGATTTTTGGGAAAATGTAGACTGAGAGGTGTGTCCTGGCCTGGTGTGTAGATGAAGCATCTCTTGAGGATGAGGTGGAATAACTCAAGAAGTTTAGAAGGCCAATTGCCTTAGGCCACAAAAAGGGAGGAACTACAGATCATGGGGCCCCATAGCAAAATCTTGATGGGGCCTCCCGACAACTTCTCTCTATGGCACTTGAAACAGAGAGAAGTTGCCAGAAGAAGTTGACATGAACAGCAGATGAAGAGCAGTCAGCATAGTCAGTACATTACTAGGGACCAGTGCAGGGGTTAGAAATTGCCAGGCAGGGAATTCACTTTAAACTTTAATTTTACACTTTCCTCAGTAGTTCATCAATAGTTTTTGATAGTGAAGTGTAAGTTCACCTTTTCAGAAAAGGTACATTACAGCAGGGACATATATATATATATATATATATATATATATATATATATATATATATATATGTGGTGCATACTAGCACATGGGCTTTAGTCATGTCATATCTGATTCTGGGTGACCTTTAATTATAACTACCATTTCCAGAAGAAGAAATGAGACTCCAAGGTGGCAGGATTGGAGCTAGGATCTGCGGATTTTATGGCTGGAGTCCCCAAATCATTCAATAATCTAGCCATAGCTTAAGTAATACTTTTGGGTCGACCGATCTTTTGAGAAATTTAAAATAAGCGCAGGGGCGGACTGAAAACTCATGGAGCCCCAGGCATGGGGCCCCTGTGTCCTTGCCCAAACTCAGAAAAGCCTATGAAAAAGGTAACAGGCAGGGGTGGACTGACAACTCATGTGGCCCCCGGGCAATAGGGGATCATGGGGCACCTGTGTCCTTGCCCAAACTCAAAAAAGCCTATGAAAAAGGTACCAGGGGCATCTCATGGGGCCCCCTACTGACTCCGGGCAGTGCCCGAGTTTCCTAATGGTCAGTCCGCCCCTGGTACCGGGGGCATCTCATGGGGCCCCCTACTGACCCCGGGCCCTCGGGCAGTGCCCGAGTTTCCAAATGGTCAGTCCGCCCCTGACTAAGCGTACAGTTGTAAGGGCTTGTTCCCACCAGGTGCAGTGCAGGAACAGATGCAATATTGTGCTTTTTTCCCAAACTGCACAAAAACTAGCTGCTTTTTGCAGACGTGCTCAGGTGCCACCCTACACATCTAGTAATGCAGTACCATACATTTTGGTGCCTGCACTATTTTTAAGTGTTTCACGTGCATAGGGCAGCCCACTGTAATTACTGGGCTGGCCTAAAGCGCAATACATGGGAATGCGCAAACAGCTGGTGTGATTAAGCCCTACGGCCCTGTTTACCTCTCGCGATCTGGGATCGTGGGATGAAATCGCTGCTATTCTGCCCACAATCCTAAATCATGGCAGAATGAGTGACGCACATGTTGGTGCTATTATTCCTTAAAAGCGATTCTGCTGCGATCTTTGAACAACACAATTGCATGGTGCAATTGCAAAACACGAGTTTTAAAAACATGCCATGCATGTCATCCAAAAAAGGAGCATGCTTGTTCCCGCTACGCAAAAGTGTGAATGCAGCCCAAATCACAATTGAAATGTGAATAACTTTTGACTTGACAATCTAAGCAATCTGTAATTTGCTACAACTAAACACATACTCAAGAAGAATGGTGAAATTTGCTAATCAGAAACTACGGTAAAAATTATATTTTTAAAGCTGAAGGGAAATATTTCCAGCAGCAGTTTTAACATTTTCTAAATAATAAATGAAGCTATTTTCTAACAACTCCACATTAAAAGTCTGGATGCAGAGCCAGTAATTTAAACCCTTCAAGTTGGAAGGACCTCCGGGGCTACAGCCTACTTATCTGGCTTGAATCCAGGACCTACTCAGCCAAGTGGAAATAAGTTTTAGATTTAAAAGTTGGTGAAGGAGCTCATAAAGAACGCCCAGGCTCAGAATAGAGTTTTTAGGTCTACCGCTGACAAATGCGCCACCTGACTTTAAAGACACAGCTCTCGGCAAGCCTGACCACAGGGCAAAGACTCATAAAATTTACAGTTAGTTCATTTCAAGACCACAGACTCCAAGCCTAGGATTTGCCAGAGTCACTAAAATTAACCATAACGTTTGGTTATTCAAGCAGTGGCAAACCTAATTCTCTCTATTGTGTAAACTATTGTCCCTAAGGCTTCGAA